TTGTGAAGTTTGTGGTTTGAAGAGGATAGTCAATGTTCTACCGGATAAGTATCAACTAACCTACCCCACAATTTAGTTCACCCGAATTTCTCAGCAACAGCCGTTTTTTCACTTGTCTTCCTACATGCACCCGCTTGAATGCACAGATAATCTGACCTTGCCGACCACGCGCGCTAGGTTCGACGACAGTTAAGCTTGGAAGATGACCTTGGCCGATCAGTTCAAAATTCAAAACAGGGACCCCGGTGGTTGACTGTTTTTGTCCAGCAAGACTAACGCTTCTTACAGATGTCGGCTGCACGGAAGATGATGAGGGGCTCTCCAAATACACGAGGAAGTTTGACACATATTTCTACAAAGTAGACAAAATATGATAGCTGAGTTGCAGAAATTAGTGCACGGACAGGCATGATTTACGTATACTTTAGAATGAGTTGGGTCTTCAGAGTTCCCGGGCTTACCTGCATTGCTTGAGGAGTGAAGGTCACGGTCACGTAAGTTGATGTATATGGGTCTATTTGGGTCCGTTCCATTTCCAAGCTAAACATCCCTGTACTGCTGGCAGGGCGGTTACCGCGGCTGGCCGGGCGACGAGTGACACGGGGAGGCAAATGTCCGATGGGACGAATTTCAAAAGTGACATCGGCGGGAACTTTACCTCGGTTGGCCATGCAAAAGCGGGCCCGTGCTGCTGTGCCAACCAAAATGCTGGGAAAGATGAATCGGTTTTCTGCTACGGCATAGAGACCGCCATGACAATCCTGAGAAAAAAGAAAAGCTCAAAAGGTTTATCGCTTTTGAATATCAGAGCCATTTATCTCGTCGAACATTCGTTGATAAAGCATGTTTAACAACTGCAGCCAACCGAATTCACCTCATCTAGGTAAAGCAGCCGTGAGGCGACGTCGTTTCGCCTAATCTGCCTACATAATATGAACACAATTCATCATGTAATTGTGTGTCTAACTCAAAATCCAAGCTGCCCGGCTTGAGTGTCATATATGCGTGATTAGAGTTTCTCCAAAATGGAAGAAAACAAAACTATTGTTTGTGGTTGTTTCTCACTTGCCTATTTGACAGTGAGGGCCATAAAGGATAAAGACAACTGGTAGGCACCATAGTGAATACACCAGTTTCATTCAGAGAAAACCATCTCAAAATCAAGCACACAGCCTGCCTATTCAGGTAATTAGTTACATATATAATGCCTGTGTGAATCAAACGACCTGTTGTAAATGTTTGATTTTGGTTACAATCGAAAAAGGGTTAAGAGTTGAGTAGAAAACTAGGTTTTCTAGAAATAGCACCGAAACAAAAAGGTCAATCGTGCACCTATCCTGGAAGAAGAAGGTTTCATAAATCCACACTCACCCCTTCCGTTGGTTCCAGACTGCCTAGCATGCTCAAATCGTGGCATATCCGGTGCTCTTCAAATATTGTCGTAATGTCACCCGTCTCAATACTGGGCATGTGGGCTTCGGCTTTTAAGGTGAATGGAACGCCATAGGGGTATAGGGTCGCATTTCGGTCGCTAATTTCGATCGCTATTTCCTTGACAAAAATGTGATAAATAAGTTTTCGTCTGATCATTATGGAATCAAAGAGGTTAGACAAACAGCAGTGAGGCATACATTCTATCGGCAATACAAAATCGACTCAAGTTACCTTGCAAGTTACCTTACCTACACAACAGCCTAGATTTAAGGACAAAATGATATAATATAATCCTCGAAGGGCTCTTTTCGCACAACCACGTGAAGGGTGGAAGAGAGCCAGAGGCGGTCAAACCATAATTTGGCTGTGAAGTATAAAAGCCATTACCAGCAAGCTCAGCTGCGCCGTCTTCCTGAATAAGGACCCCGAGATGGGCCATATCAATGTTTAGAGGGACCAGTCGCGCCCTCAATGGCGCTCGTGCATCCAAGCTATTGCCTTCAATTCATAGCTCCCGTCCCAATCCCCCACTCAACAGTCCACTGACAGTGCTGTATTTACGCACTAATTTATCAGCTCCCGCCTCCAGTGCGCAGCTATCTACCACACCTTCCCGAATCCTTGGTGAACGATTCGAACAAACGAAAGTTGGAGAAATAAAAATAAGCAGTAGAGTTCTTTATAGCATTACAGAACACCAACGACAAATGTGGAAGGAAAATGAAACAATGCGGTCAGGAATATCGCCATACAATTTTAATTGGGACCAACGCTTGTTACCACATTACTAATTGAATTCATAGTAAATGAGGTCACAAAGAATGCAAGTGAAAAAAAGTTTCACAGTGGCTCACGATACTCGAACCATAATATTTAGATACACGTATTTACATTGATCAATCTTTTTTCCATTATTCATTGGACAGTGCATTT